AAGAATAACATTCCATCACTGGAATTTTCTTGGCAACTCAAAATTGTTGTTGTTATTATTATTAAGGGAAGAATCAATATGCTAATAAGTAAACCAAAAATGTATTATCTTATCACAAGGCCAAGAGACACAGCTTTACCTGTAGTGACATTTAACATATCACTGTCTGAGGTAATGAGCAATTTCATTGTTCTTGTAATCTGAATAATGTGTCATGATTTAAGCTTTATGCAGTTAAATTTATACTTGCATCAACAAATCTGGTAAGCCCCATGTCACTATTTCCTTGCTGCTGTTTTGACTTTTAGTACCATAATAAATTGTTCAGACCAAAAGACCAACTTCTTTGCTCTATAAAGAGTACACATAATGTCCTTTAAGTGCAGATCAATGTCTGTGCCATTTCTCAGCAATGCACATTTCAAAAATACCTCTCAGCTGTCAGCTCACCTTCACCAATGCAGTTGTCTCTGAAATGCCTTATATATCCCAGGCAGACTCTGAAACTGAACCTCTAAATCAAAAAACAAAAGGAGATGGATTAATCAATAAGGATGCTTTTATTTTCTCTATTTTTTTTCCTCAGGCTGAATCCCCAGACATAACAATCAAATCAGTCTCGTCTAAGCTATACCAAAGCCTATAAAGGTTATTTGACCAAGATTCGCTTTTTCACACAGACAAGATAGTTGCACATTTTCCCCTCTCTTTCTCTGTTTCTTCTTGCTCCCTCTCTCCCTCCATCTCTCCCTCTCCCTCCCTTCTCACTCCTTTCCTCCCTCCCTCCCTTCATTTTCTCTCCTTCTCTTTCTCTTTCCTTAAGTAGACTTGATTTTGGACACTCATTTAGAGGCTCAGCTTAATAAAAAAAATAATAAAAAAACACCATCTCTCCCCTTTGCTTTCTAAATACCTTCTAGTTTTAATATTATACTATTTATATCTGAATGTTAGAATAAGACTTTATAGAATGTTTAAAAAATATTTACTAATTGCTTTCCAAGACTTGTTTTGGGAGGGTGAGAAGCCCAGTGATCCTAAGAAAAATGATAGATTCAAGTTCTTGAATACTATCACTAGTAATACTAGAAGTATTACTCAGTATTTTACCCTGAATGTACAGAACTAAATGATTTTTTGACCTCCCCACTACCAGTATGCTTAGTTTAAGCTCTCTTCCTTTCTAATCTTAAGTAGGGAAACAAATCCAATCCCTTTCTTTTTTTAATGTTTTACTGAAACAAAACAACATAGAGCTGTGCGCTCTTTATAATAAAAGCAACAGGTTCAGATATTATCTGAAGACCTTGTTACCTTTGGTTACCTTCGGTCTACTCTGAAATGTTCATCATATAGAGCAAGACAGAACAGTTACAATAAATAGAAGTGGGAATAAGGAGTGTATTTTATAATACCAGAGCTATGAGCTAAGCTAGTGCACAATTCCTACCTGAATCATATAGCATTTGTTTGGGATTTTTCTTCCTCAAAATAGCTATACACTGGGCTTGAGTGCTAATTAGTGCAGAGTTTTGGCCACGTTTACTTCAGAAAACCAATGGGAAATAAGTGGAGGAAATACACGTGCTTTAGGCAGAGTTCCTCTGTATATTGGTGTGTCTGAGGGGGCCAGGATAACGCTAACAAAATAGGCACTGTGGAGAGGCCTTCTTTTTCTCTTTTGTGGAATTAACAAATACTGAACTTTCGAGTGCCGTTTCATTGAGTCACTTTTCATGTCCTTAGGCAGTGAATTAATTTACCAGTTTACTATGGGAAAGTTACAGAGAGTTAGCAATGTCTTTGTGGGAGGGAATCCTGTTAACATTTATGCTTTATATGTGTTAAGAGAGATGTCTTATGAATGTAGTTCTAGAAGTTGGTGATGTATTATACTACTCCCAGTACTGAACTTTCTCCATTTCAGTGTACACATTTAATCATAATGTATTATCTCCCACTGCTATACTTACCTACTCTTCCCATCAATAGTAATTCTCTTCTTCTAATTCAGTCAAAGCCTAAGATGCTTAATTAGGAACCGGCGTTATGAATTTAATTTGTTAATTATCTTTTATGGACCAATATTGCAGAACATTTAGTTTAAGTACACTGAAAACATTTAATAATGTACTTAAATTATTCTAATAGTTTACTATGTTGTATGTTCTTATGAGATACGGTTAAAAATTATATATTATTGGAACCATCATGGAAATTAATGTAATCTATTGTTATACTTTTTCCATGGCAGATGCCATACTAATTACATCATCTGACAATTGCTAAGTATAACAGATTATACTCATAATAAGTCATATAATCTTTTTCATGAGTGAGATAGCATTACATAATTGTCAAATGACCCAATGGAAAAGAAAATTAATGAACTGATTAGTGTTACTTATCTTTATTATAAATTTACAGCTTTATTAAATATACAGGGATAAAAATTCCCCAAATACCTAAGGGACATAGATTCAGTAAAATTTAAAACAGATTTTAGTTAAAAACATGATCCCAAGCTAAAGAAAAACAAACTATTTTAAGAAATTCTCATCAAGTATCTACCTACTCCTGGTGATACTACTGTCAGTAGGTCATTTTTTCTGTTTAACATCAAAATTATCTTTGGATTCTACTATTGTGCAAGCCAGAGTTTGTTTCTAAACTCTGTGAATTAACCAGCTTCTTTCTGCTATCCACATAAAAAGATACCAAACACCCATCTATTTTGCAGAAGTAAGCTTTCTGTAAAATTTCCCTTTCATTCAGAAAGTTATGAAATAGTACTTGTTCTTCATGTAGTAGTGTAATGATGAGAGCTTTCATCCCAGAAACAGGAAGCACTGGTTTAGGTACTGTCACAGCCTGAACCTGAGGGGACACAAGTAAGTACACCAAGCTCCAGGATAGGGGTGATGTTAGAGTTTGAATGATGAGAAGGAAAACCTTCCCTAAGTTAAAGCTATGCGTGCATACAGCACAGAATTCTAAATTAACAGAATATGATCCAGGAGAATTTTAGAAATGTAACTAATATGCCAGGTCTCAACATAAAGAGGAGAAACAGCTTCTGTCAGCCTGTCCTCTCAAGCTAACAAAATTGCCTTGTGAGGCAAGAAACTATGTTCCACCTCAGTCAGCAGAAGGTACTGAAATTCACTATGTAGGTTTAGCAGAACTGGCAAAGTGTGCATTTCCCTGTCACATGGGCTGATTTTTGTTGTCAGTGAGGTAGCAGGCCTTGAAGAAGCTCTAAGCTTTGTAGTTAGGTTGCCTTGAATCTGCCCTATGAATTGGGTGTTTCTGTCATGTTTTCTGAAGAGTAGCATCTATAATATTAGTAAACACAATTGTTGACCATACTAAATAAATAAACAAATAAATAAATAAATGAATAAAAACACCAGGAATAAATGACAAGAAGTCGGTTTTCTTGAAAGAGTGGTTGTAAGAAGGAGTTAAGGGCAGCCCAGGTCTGGGTGGCAGTAGACATCTTTCTACAATGCCAAATTAAATGACTACAATTCCAGGTGGAATTGCATACTTATTTCCTGTCAACTAGTTCTAGATCATCTCCTGTTCAAGGAACGGTTTGATTTAGACACTTAACTCTCTCTGAGTGCTGAACTTGAAGTCTAGCAAGTCCAATCCTTGCTTTTCTTTTACAGACCAGTCAGATAAAAGCTGGGCATCATCATGGTTTGTTGGTGGAATTTAGGTGTGTTGAAGGATTGTAGCCATTAGACTCTGTGTATCTGCTTCATTTAGCTAAGTGTCCTCAGCTGCAGCTGGAGACTTGCATATCGGGGCTGGCCATCTAATGTACACTCACAGTGGTTGGGAATAAGCTCTTGCTAGAATGGAATGCATCCCCTTGAAAAATAGGGCAGATGAGTCATGATATATAACACCTTTTTCCTGCATATATACAGAAGTCATGTGTGTCTGAGTTGTACTCACCCATACTTACATAAGGTGAGATAAATCCCATCATTTGTAGTTGATCTAGTTTTCAAAAAAGAACTTTGGTAGTACAGTTGACTTTTAAAATTGTGCCCAAAGTTGATGTAGTATTGGTTGCCCTACCAGCCAAGATGTAAAACATAATCACAGATTATTGATATGAAAATTCTGTTTCACTCTTTTATTTTAATCCTTCTGTGTTGTAAAATGTTGTTACTTTAAACAAAATAAGTTTATATTTGGAAAGATGAGAGCAAAGAAATCAGATAATAGTGATGTAAAAGTTTTAACTGGCATTTCAGACTCAGTGTCTGCATTTCAGTCTCAGTGCTATTCTGTATAGTAGGAGCTGTGGTAGGCTCAATATTAAAACATACACTTGGACATACATAATTGTTTTGGATGTACCTTCAGGAAGTCTGTCTAGAGCATTGGGTTTTGTTCACTTCGGAGCACCAAACACATACGTTATTTTATCTGCATTCAGATGACAGATGGAGACACACTTCGACAGTCTGCTCTAGAAATTATTACATCAGTCAGCTGATGTCTTCCAAAGTCCTTATGTACATAGCTGTTAGAAGGGTAAATGGAATTTTTACATAACCTATAGACTGAAGTTGCATCCAGAAGCAGTATAAATGACTAGAGCATGTTGTGATTGTAAACTGGGAGTCAGATTGCTCCAGGAGTGTCTGCTAGGATTGGTGTGAACATGATGGGCTAGGACTGATGCCCTCCATCCTATGGGGAAAGTAATGTTTATGTTACTGTTTTCTATACACTTCTGATTCAGCCTTGCATTGTGAAAGTGTGTTGGAATCAATCTGATGAAATTTCTCACAGAGACACTATGTTCAGCAACCAGTTCTTCTGGTTAGTATTGTTATTAAGAAAGGACTGAAAGACATTACCTGGTGCCAGACTTTAACTGTTGAGTGGAAAAAAACCCGCAGCTTCATTTCTACTGCTGTAATATTTCTAATAGGTGCGGTAATCATTACTAATGATGTCACAATGTTTTATTATAGGTTACTTACGAAATTGCTGGTGCGGTAGAAAAAAATAAAGATTCCCTTTCACAGAATCTCATATTTGTAATGAAAAGTAAGTAAACTGTTTTGTGGTTGCTGTTGTTGTTAGAAATGAAGATGTTAAACCTGGACTTTGATTTTCATTTTTTTATGATAGTCCATACATATTTTTATTTCCAATAAAAAAAAAAAGTCATCCTTATCTTCACTGCTTGAGTATCGTTTTTAGAAGCAGCATCATCTGAGCATTCTTGTTTTCCAGTGAATAGATACAAATGTTCATTGAAATACATAATTAAATACCTTTCCATGTGCATACTGTATAATTATGCCTAATAATGCATCTCCATTTATTAATTAATGATTCATAATTGGATAATTAAAAACCCTAATTCATTTACTTTTTCAGGGAAGAAAAACAACATTTTCCTCAGGGAAATGTCAATACACCCTGAGATGCTATTTGTCTTTGTTCCAACTAGTGCAGTCTTCCCTTAATATCTTACATATTTGTATTTCTTTCAATAAAAATTGAGATCTTTTGGAAGAAAGATTTGTCTTTCAAATCAGCCGTGCTGTTACAGTATTGTTTTTTAGCAATTTTACTGTGAAACTAAGCTCTCTGGTAAAATAATTGATGTTTTTCGAAGGCAAATAGTATACATGAAGGATTAGAAAAGAAAGAAAATAATTAATCTTGAATATAATCCTATTGATTATAGTTCCTGTTCTCACTATTGGAATTTATATGATTATCTACCAAATAGCACAAGAAGTTTTATCATCAATTTCCAGTGTATTCTACAAGAGAGCATTCTTCCATTCTCTCAAACAGTTTCTTTTTGCATTATCTTTGCTATTTTGTTTAATAATCTATGCAGCTGTTAAAAGGGAAGAATTGAGAATTGGATTGCATATAAAATATTTGATTTGCAGCGAGTGAGTATATATAATTAACAAGTCAAATAATAATAAATATAATTAATGGATAAATTCTGAAAGCAGAATATTTAGAAGGATCTAAGTGACTTAAAAGAAGGCTACATTCCTTCTTTTTTAACTGACTTAGGCTTTTGGAACTTGAAACTATTGATTGTCAATGACGTTTTTCCTTTTGTGTCAATCGCATAAGTTATATAGATGTATAACTTAAATGCTTTCTTCTTTTGTTTTTCATTGAATTTGGTTTCCTTACTCAGCTAAAAACCTTTAAATACACTAACAACATTGAAGTCATTTTCATATATATGTTCGAAGGTGGGACATACATGTCCTGTAGATGAACCAGGAGATACTATTAATGCAGGTTTTATCTGTTTTGATTTGAAGGGCAAAATTTTAATGTCTTTCCTAATGCTACGTATTACATTTGTCCATATTGAAGAAATGGACTATGTCCACCGATAATGCTGAAATTTATTCAAGTATCTGCTTTAGTATCTTTCTCATAACTTTATTACTGGTGTTAAGTCAGCAATAATAATCCCCACAGAAAAGAAGAACCAAATCTACTATATGTAAACATCTAGTAAATATATCTTTACTCAGCTATTAAATGGTAAACTGAAGATTTCTACATGTTATGCTAAACTTAATGGCATTTTTAATGATCTTTATTCCATTTATTCATTATCTGGAATTATTATGAAACATTCGATCTGTCCTAAGATTCACAGTTTTAGTTTAAAAACATCTCTTGAAAGTAATTTGTTCTGTGCTAGTTATCACACTGCATCAAAAATATGTATGGCATTATTATTTTTTTAATATTTTGATGTGATCAATGTGATTTTGATGCAGAGAAACATGAACTTAGCTTGCTGTAGTTCTGTCCTTCATCTAGCCTTTTTTTTTTAAATCTATTTCTATGTTATATTTTACATAATTGTTTTTCTTTAGTGCAATGGCTGTCCAGAATTGACTGCTGCCAAGTGCCTTGATCATTTTTAAATGCTACTTGTTAGATAAATAGTGCATCATGTGTCTCTTACATTGCTTTAATAGATAGATATATTAGTAGTCAGTAATGGAACAAAAGTCAAATGCGATTATAACATAAGTAATTAAGTTTGGACAGATCATAGCCTAGGAGGTTTTGTTTTCTGTCCTATTTTGTTCAGAATAGAACCTAAATAGGTTTAAAAAGAATGTTACTGATGACTAACATTCTCAGGTACTGAATGTTTTTTGGTAACTGTTAGTGCATAAAATAATAGTTTTTGGGATGTCCGTTCATTTTACATTTATTTTTTTAATTGTCTGTTACTGGATGCATATTTTTCCTTCCTTTATGTGTATGGTTTTTAAACTGTATTTTATTTTCATGCATTAATTTGTTCTTTTTTTCTAGCCAGCGAAAATGTAGTCATCAATCAATTGTTCCAGTCCAAACTGACACAGACTGGATCACTTGTTCCTCCATATCATTCCCTTAAGTTCAAAGGATGTAAAGCAGCACTGCTGAATAAAAAAACATCAGTAGCCTGTGCAGGTGGAGAAACAAAGAAATATGTGGAGCTCAGCAAGGTAGGAATTTATGACTGTTCTGTGGTTTTGTATGAAGATGAACTCTGTAAATTGTTAGTTTATATAGTTAATTGCGTATAAATATTTCAGAGGATTCAAAAACAGATCAAACTTGCATGTTTCTACAAATCAAACGTGTAAATTTCTGAACTTGCCTCTTTTTCTGCTAGTTAAGTCAGCTGCAAAATTTAAAAAGAATAACAAAGAAACTAAACTTTGGTAGGGTACTAAAAATGTAGTTGTTAATGTCACATGCGACATCTCTCTTTTGAGGAGAAATCACATGGTTTGCAGAGTCCATTCTTGATAAAGTTTTGGAATTCCTCCTTCTAGAAACAAAGTAAGTAGTTTCCTCGATGTACCAGCTGCCTTGCCAGGCTTCTTCAATTGTGCAACTTTATTTTTGGCTTACAGCTGCACAAAGTTGATTCTACCATGGGATTAAGGAGCTTGCTCTCATGTGTCTTTTAGAGGGCTTTATGCAAGCACTTCCACAAAATAGCGATGGGAGTTTCCTCACAGCCTTACTGCTGACAGTACTGTAATTCTTGTCTACTGTTCTTGTCAGTAATCTCAGTGGAAAACAGAAGTTGAAGTGAATGGTGCTGGTTTGAGAATATATTTAGCAAACAGCTGAGGCATCACAAGGTGCATTTAGGTGCCTTTCTGCCATAGTAACAGCTTCCTAAAGGAAGTTTCCTAAGCTTTTGAAAAAGATCCTAGTCCCATATGTGGAAGGAAGCATGAAAGGCATGTCCAAGTTAGAAACCTAATGAAGCTGAGAGAAACACCATGCAGCTGGGTCCTCTGAAACTGAGGCTTTTCACCAGTCCAAAATAGCTTTTAACCAGGAGTTACTCTCTTGAGAGTGAGATAAAGTATTCAAATTCCTTTGGGAAGCACAATAAATTAAGTCAGATCTTCCAGATTCAGTGAGAATGGTTTAAACTATTGGGTGTTAGATGGAAGGTGGTTGAGACCTTCATCCTTCATCTGCCCACAGAGGCAAGGATTGCTTGGTGTCCTGAAGGTGGGCTTTGAGATGAACTACACAAGTAAGACAGTACACAACTTAGTGTGTAGATACTAAATTGGCCAAATTTAGGCTAGGTAGTATGCAGTCCTGGATGACTGAAGCAGGGCATAATATATCTAAGTAGTTCCAGTGCCAACACTACTGCTTTTTTGGAATAGACACCTGATGAAGGAGCTAGAAGTAGGTAAGTGCTTAATTTCTTTTGTGGATCAAGTCCACATCTATAACTGTCCTGTCTCATAATTTCTTCCCTTCACCTGCATAGCCTTGAAAATCCACTGTGATAAGCTAAAAATGATGTTATTGTTTTGTTGCTGTTATTCTTACTGTAATTGAAAATGCAATGTAACAGGCATTTTTTCATTAGCTTAGAATTGAAATGACCACATTTTGGAAAATCGTAACTACGGTATTTTTATTGGATTTTATCCTGAGGGAAAAGGCAGCAAAGGAAAAAAAGAAAAAAGAAAAAAAAGAGAGGAAGTAAATGGAAGAGGGACATTAAGACAAGAATTATAAACCAGAGGATGTTATTCCTTTTATAGCTGAAATCTGAGACAGATACATATAGTACATTCCATAGTGTGTGTTATAAAATGGTAAAATATAAAATGGTAGGTTTTCATGCTGCTGTGTGTGAGTATTCTAGACTTCTTAATATCCAGGGAAGAGAAGGTCACATCTAGGTCCAGAGGTCACATAGGAGTTTGTTACGATTTCCTTGTCCTTTCAGCTTCTCATCTGCCATCCTAGCAATTTGTTAGGTTATATAATCACAGATTTCTCTGCAGATGGCCATATATATACCTACTGTTAGACCTCTCAGATTTGACGGGTGACTTTTTCATTGTTTTGGAACATGTTGTCAGAGGTAAGAGAGGGCTACCTCGCTGAACTCAACACTCTTCTTGTAGCAGGATCCAACAGAACAGTGAATCCATCCCAAAATAGACATGAAAGCTGGTAGACCAAAAGCTGGTCATAATTCTGGAGCACAGAAGGACTTGTAGGAATAGGGTTCTCAAGTCTCTGTGATGCATGAAGGCTGTATTTCCTTTTCACATAAAAGAAAAAATATTTTCATTAATACTCTCACAACTCTCTTTTGCTGACATCATCTCTTGCTCCCTAGTTTCTCTGTAATCTTTTCTTAATGTATGGTGCTGCTTTCCTCTCACTTCCTTTGGAAGAGCCAGTGGGCTTCACAGTTCACATAGTGTTAGCTGAGTCACATGAATCTACGTCACTATCAAAAGGCCCTTATCATCACTGACTTTTCACTGCTCTTCCTTATGATCACTTTGCTTCATTGACTGTTGAAGAGCTTGTCTGTTGCAAAACTTTTGTTATGCCTTCTGGTTAAAGCTTTTAAATATTGTGCTTGTAAAGAGAGATTTTTAGAAGGCTTTGGCTTCTTAACAGACATTGAGGAGCTTTTTACATATACATTATTTTTGTAGATTAGAGGTATAATATTTTCCATCTTAAAGCTGTATATTCAAGAGTACAAAGAAGTGCAGCTGTGGTGATGTAGTCTTGCTCTTTAGCCATACCTAGAGATGTCCAAGGAGATTGAATTAAATTCATTTTTGGTTCTTGCTTTGCTTCCTTTCTTTTCTATCTCTCATACTGAACAAAATGTCTCTTTCCCGTGGGAAGTGTATGCAAAACAGGACAGCTGGCAAAAAATTTAGCATCCAGAGCTATTTTCCTGGCTCTTCCACTAACTCAGTTAATGGTCTAGGGCTAGTGACTTAATTTGTTGGGAGAAATGGGTGAGTACAGGGGTAATTTTTAGTTATATTCTTAAAACATTTTGTAAACATTAACTAAGAAATATCATAGTAAGGCTAGTGTTTTTGTTGTTGTTGTTGTTGTTTTTAATGAAAAAAACCTATAGCAAATAGCTCACTTTTCTGTTCTGCCTTTAAAATCTTACTGCATCCTATTAAGTAAAATTTGAAATAATAAAGATCTCCAGAATCTAGCAAAGTGAATAGAGAATTGCTAATGCTGCAATATTTTTAATGGAAATTGGCTGTGGAAGGCCAAAGTGTGGAAATAGACCCTTCTTTAAAGCAATAGGAAAATTGCAGGAGTGGGCCAGAATGTACTGACCTGATTGAAAGTGAGTTTTATGGTATAAGTGGACTCAAGAAAGGCAATAAAAAGAAAAGTTAAAAGCCTTGATACAGACGTTTGAATCGAAGATCTTGGCCAAATCGTAGAATGAAGTAGTTTCCCAGTCTTTCTGTAAAAACTTTAACAAAAAAGATAATGGGATATATTTTAGGTTTTTTATTTCCTTTTTTTCCCTCAAAGATAGGAAGTAGAACAGTATAAAATAAATTCATTCTCTATTGCCAGTTCTGATGCATGGGAAGGATAACATTAGTTCTAGCATGATATGCAGTTACTGATAACTTATGGCAAACATAGGTGAAAATTACTTTAACAAAAGTTAAACTGCATTCACTCATACAGGAAAAGAAGAGAGCTTTTTTAAAATATTCATATTATTGATTTGCCTTCAACATTTTCTAATTACCCATGCTTGCATTTAGCCACTTAAACATCTGCCAAAGACATAAGGAAACTTTTCAGAGTTACAGAATTGTAGACATACAGACTATATGGGATGGTACCTGCACAAGTCCTGCTTCAACAGTAGAATTCCAAGCCGTATGGCTTTGCTCAATTATTCAGAAAAGGAATATTATCTTTACAGTGGTATGCAGCTGCTTCTGAAATCAGAATTTTATTGTTAGTCATACCTCCTCAGGCAGATTTTTATCCTCTTTCCCAATTGTTTCTGAAAACCAAATCATTGTAAATGGCATACTCTTTATGCAAATGTTTGCCTTTGTTATCAACTTGTGTAATAATGAAAGCAAATTGTTAGTGCCCATCTTGAGTTAAAGATGCCGTTGTGTGCTTTTCTTTCCCACAGCTGTTGAAAAAGAAGGGGACATCCTCATTTCTTCAGAAACTGGAACGAGGGGGCCCAACCACTGTGGCAGTACAACTCAGGGTTAGTAAACATTTTCTGGACAGAAATAATAAAACAAACAAAAAACAAACAAGCAAACAAAAACACAAACCAAAACAACATCAATAACGACAACCAAAAAAGGCAGAATTAGTCTCTACAGATTACAGTGGCAGAAAAAATCATATTCATGAGTAAGCCACTTACATGGCTGTGACATAACTTATTTTAAAGAGTTACAAGAGCATATGTTTTGTGCAGTTGCCTTTCCTGCACAGTAATGATTGATACCTCTTTTGTGTTGTTTGTTTATTTTTTGCCACAGAAATCACTCACAGATATTATTGGGAAGCTACAGAACTGCACGCCACATTCTATTCACTGTATAAAGCCTAACAACTCCAAGTTGCCGGATACTTTTGACAATTTTTATGTGTCTGCTCAACTGCAGTATATTGGTGTCCTAGACATGGTCAAAATCATACGATACGGATATCCCTTTCGTTTCTCTTTCACAGACTTCTTGTCAAGGTAAATTAAGTTTTATAAAAGCTTTTTCTTACCTACAGTACAAAGCCTTCTGTCATGTTCTGGTAGCGCTTGCGGTGTTGTTTTGTTGATGGGTCTGTCAGATTTCACAGAAAAATCGTATCTGCTAGCTAGGATTGTTACTTTTAAGGGAGGAATGATGAACTTCATGGAAATGCATTTATAAATATCATAAAAATGTATTCAATGTGAAAAAGACAATTTCATGCAATAGTTTCATTTTTATAATTTATACTACTTACGTGATATATAAAATTGCATATTGTCCCAAAGTCCCAATTAACAGGAGAAATAGTTTCCTTTTTTCAGTTTATCAGTATAGCTGTCACTGGTTTAGTGTTTGTATTTCATGTGTTAGGATTTGCTTCTGCATGTTTATGAGTGAAAGATGCTCATACCAGAACTTCATTTTTATTATTGTCAGAAATTAGTGGAAAACTCAGTTTTTATTATTGTTATAATTGACATTTTAAATTAAGGTAGAATGAATGAGAGACTTAGGTCACAGTTTCTGGGTGAAGACAAACTCTTTCCTCATGCCTGTTTCAGTTTTGTTTTTGTTTTTGTTTTTGGCTCACTTACGCTCTCTAATACTTCAACAATTGGAAAGTACCGACTTATGCAAAGAATATATGTTATGAAACTTAGTGCACATAGAATCGTATAATGACTTGAGTTGGAAAGGACCTTAAAAACATCCTACTTCTCCTCTGTCATGGGACCTCTTTTTTGCCCTGATAAAGAGTTCCTCTTCAGTTTTCCCTTAAGCTTCCTTTAAGTATTGGAAGGCCACAATGACGTCTTCCTAGAGCCTTCCTTACTCCAGGCTGAACAACCCCAGCTCTCTCAGTCTGTTTGCACAGAAGAGATTGTCCGGCCCTCTAATCATCCTCATGGCCCTCTTGGACCTACTCTTGACAACTCTATGTCCTTCTTGTACTGCAAATGGGGGTCTCAAGAGCAAAGCAAAGGGGAAGAGTCACCTCCCTCACACTGCTGTGACACTTAGAATTCATGCATTTTTTTCTTCTGCAAGTGCTCATTATCCAGCTCAAGTTGCTGTTCCATCAACCAAGTCCTGCTTCTCAGGGCTACTCTCACATGTCTCAGAGACGTGTTCATCCTCTCTGAAAATATTTACTCTCCCCTTGGCTTGCCTCAAGGGCAAAAGAATTACTGTCCTTGCAGAGGAATACAGAACAACACAGAGGGAAATAATGAAAATAAGCAACTTGCCTCTCTTAATTCAATTATTGATGCACCTCAGTATAGTGAAATTTGCCTGTACCTTAATATTATCTTCAATCCTTCCTAAGAAGTTGAAATCTAAATATTTTTTCCTTTATTCTATCATCTGTGTTCAGTGCTTGTCTGTAAATACTAAATACAAGTAAGGTCTCTTGATTTTCATGGACGTTTTCTCTTTTATAGGAGAGAACTTTCTTCGCATTTGAGGGATTATAACAAGCAGTTCAATTTTGTGGCCCGAAGGGAAGGGAGAATAGACCTATGTATGTAAAACTCAAGGCCTGTTAACTTAATATAGATATGACCATTTGAACTACTAGTCCAAGAATGATTTCAGCCAAAGAAACAAAGGTTGCAGTCCCCAGACTGGTGATGGTGATAGGGTAACTATAAGAATTTCACCTTCAGCATGTGTTGGAGGATTAAATCCTTAAGGTGGGCTGAGTTGCAGCTGTGTTGTTCAACTGCAAAGTGTACTGTACTGGTGATGCAAGGAAATCTTGTTTTTCTAGTGTTACATGTACTATACAGTTCTCCTGGGTTTACCTGGCCTGAGAGGTAAAGGATATTAATGGGGGTCTAAAAGCACTGTATAAGATCAAACAGGATTTGTGGCCCAGATCCCAACCTGAATTCCATAGTGACAATGAATTTCTACCCTTCCTCACCCTCCTGGCAGTTTTCATCTGTTAATGTTTAGAGTCTTCGTTATTGGTAATGTGGTCAGAGTTAAAAAAGCTAATTAATGACAAATTAAAAACCTTTTTTTTTTTTTTTTTTTTCAAGTTAATAAAAAGATAGAATGTTTGAATTAGGAGCCTTTGTGGTGAAGGGGAGAAGGGGGAAGAATATCAGAAAAGCTGTGTAGTCTATCAATTATACAGAGAGAACCATTGCTTTCTTAATTGGATGAATTTGAATAAATTTCTATTAATGTTTTGTTAGAGATTAATATGACTAGTCCCATATTTGAATTCTTCTGATAGCTAAGGAAAGACAGGAGCTAAGGAAAGGTCATATTCTGCAAGAGCACTTCTTCCTTGGCTACAAAGCTTAATCATTATTTCTATTGCTGTCCTTTTTAGACTTATGACTTCTCCTTCGGTATTATCAAAGTGAAGCTTGACAGCTGCTAGATGAACCCCTCAATCACCAAGGTTTGCTGATCAGAAGAGAAATCCTGTAGAAATTCTGGTTCTTAAGTGGAAGCTGTGACAGTTACTGTCAATGAATATGTAATAAAAATGGGAATTAATAAGGTCAGATGTTATTAAGTACTGTAAAAACAGGCAGCACCAAGTTAATTGTAAAATGATATATGTTATTTTAGAGGATTTGCCAACTCCAGCTGCAGTGTTTCTGCTGAATTTGCCTGCAGTGTTGGCTCACTTTCTAAAGCTCTTCGAGTAGAGAGTCAGAAATCAGTCTTTGCCTTAGCTTTAAACTAAAAAGCCTTAAATAGAATGCATTTTGAACTGCTGACAAAGTTTGCTCTTATCATCAGAGTTAATATCTCTAGGGTCTAGATTTTGAAATTATTTTTAAGAAAGAAAGCAGCAAGAGCAACACTGGAAAGAGTTCAGTTTCCAATTAGCAGCCAAAATTGTAAACAGGTAAAATATTCTTAAATATCATTTTCCTGGAAGAAGGAAAACAATGAAATAATGACAGAAGTAGGAGCTGTTCATGCAACTTCCTCAGGGCTCTAATGTTTTCTCACACTTGTGTACAACTACCAAAACGGGTTGTAATTCAGAGATTGGAGGTGGGAGGCGTTTTCCTGTCCTCTTTCTTCAAATTAACCATGTAGGTCAAGCCTAGTGAGTGCCACCCATATGTAGTCAACAGGGAGAACTAAATACTGACAAAGAACAATTCAGCACCATCTCTCTCCAAGTCAAAAAAATGGCTATCCGCAGGTGGCTGTTTCTTTCGAGCATTTAGCGTTTTCTTATCTTACTTAAAATGAATTTAATACCACCCAGGATAACCAGTCGGAACTCTGGTAGGAACACAGCAATTATTATTATTATTTTTTTTACTGTTCTGTGCAGTGGCAAAAGAAATGCATATTCATTATGTTCTCTACTACAGAATAGAATAAGAGGACTCATAACCGTGTGACACAGGCAGAGCCTGGCTGTACAAGTTTTATATCTAGGACCTAATCTCTTTGCATCAATTAATAAAATGGATTCTGGCTGACTTTTGTGTCATTCACCTCACTTGGTGCTGGAGGAAGACATGTAAAAGCCATTTGGAATATAAATTTTTAACAATACTGATAGTGATCAAGGATCCATCCCTGGTAATGAACTGAGCTTATATTTCTTGTTCAGTGAAGCAGAATGCAGCTGTTCAGGCACGGTAAAAAAAGAGGGGAAAAAAAGGTAAAAAAAGAGGCACAAAGGTTCTCTGTTTCATTCATTGTGAACACTTCTATTTTGGTACCATCCTCTATGACTGTCTCTACCATTAATGTTTTAAATTAGATTAAAAAATAAAATTGTTTTTTCCTCTTTTTTTTCCTCTTTAATGTGGTTCATTAAATTTCTAAGCCATACTCAGTGCTTTGCTTTGCCAGTGCTTTAATTTCCTGAGGCAAGGAACAGTTTATGAACTATCTTCCACCTTAAAAACAAGGTACATGTGTCACACATAGGTCTTGTGTCTAGATCCCTACTTAACAATGGACATGTCACAGTCACAAAACAGTTGGTGTTTCTGGGGCTCACTGACACAGTACACAAATGAGTACAAGAGAAAAATTTATCAGACTTCTCAATGGTTGTTGAGGTGTCTAGCTTTGTTATTTAGAAGGAGAAATTTCAGCATTTTCCAGGCATCTTTTAAGCTTTATAATTCAGCCCTCATTTTGTAAAGCAATTGTAATTGGATGTAAATTCTGATGTCATTTCAGTGAAGTCAGCTGAATTATTTGTGTTTGTCGTGTACTTAGAGTTCTGCAAGACCGGCATGAACAGGGGTCCCTCGAGTGGTGAGGTATAACTCAGTAATAAAATACACAGATACAGGGAAGTAAAGGTGGTGTGGTCAGTTTTACAGCTGACAGTTTGTAGCTTCCGAATGTGTGGTGTCCAATATGAAAAATCTTTCAGTTTTATTTATATGTCAGATTGTATTGGAATGTATAAATCTTAGTGGAACTTCCTACATGGAGTTTATTTTTTTGTGCAATAGAGTACATCATATTTTTGCATTTTTTCAAAGAGAATCTTAAGGTATTTTTTTCTCTCCATTCCTGTGTGTATGCTAGGGGTGGGGGTCTTTTCCACCTTTTTTTTTTTTTTTTTTTTCTTATTTAGATTCATTTTCTTGTGCAACTATAAATATAAAAGGACTCCAGCAAACACAATTGTGGCTGAACTGTTCTGGCAGTTCCAGTCATTTTCTTTAACTTAAAGAAATGTTTGTGGATTTTTTAAATGTTTATTTCATTTCCAGATTATATGCCTCTCCTGGTACCTCTGGACTGACATTCAGCTTCCACTGCCTGAATTTGACATTTCTCATCCTTTAGAGTTAACTAAACATCTATTAAATCATAAATTAACCCTCCATGTTATCCTTGTAATACTTAGGTGTATTTTACATCTGTGAATTTAAAAACTCTTGCTATTTCTAATCATGCTTCCACAGAATACTAAAATACCACAGTACAAGGTTATACCTAAAAAATGAATTATAAAAATAAGTAAAATAACATTTGAGTG